AAAATACTGTGCTAATATATACTTAGGAGCTCTGGTAGCACAGTGCCTAAGGCATCTGACTGCTAACCAGAAGGTTGATGGTTCAAACCCACCAGCCACTCTGCAGAAGCAAGACTGGGCAATCTACTTTCGTAAAGATTTACCACCTCGGAAACCCAATGGGGGTCGCTATAAGTTGGAATTGACTCGATGGCAGTGTTTTTTTGTTTTTTTTTTTTAATTTAAATATATATACTCAATATTCCTATTAGCTATTATAATTAACATGTTAATCATCAAGTGTTTATGAAAACTAGTAACAGAGAGCATTCTCTTAAAGGTTCTTGCACAGTGTTCTTTATTTTTAACTTTGATTGCTCTGGAGGGAAAAAAAAGAATGTTATATAATCAGGTCTTACAGACACATGAATAGATTTCAACTCATAGCAGCCCTGTGGAAGAACCCTCTGGTGATGTGTTGTTGTTAGGGGCCGTCAAGTTGGCTGCAACTGATAGCAGCCCTGTGTAGAGCAGAACGAAACACTGCCCCATCCTGCGCCATCCTCACAATCCTTGCTGTTCTTGAGTCACTCCATTCTATTGAGGGTCTTCCTCTTTTTCACTGACCCTCCACTTTACCAAGCATGATATCGTTCCCCAGGGAATGGTCCCTTCTGACAACATGACCAAAGTGGGTGAGGTGAAATCTGGCCATTCTCACTTCCAAGGAACATTCTGGCTGCACTTCCTCCAGGACAGATTTGTTAGTTCTACTGGCAGTCCATGGTTCTTTCAGTATTCTTCACCAACACCGCAACTCAAAAGCATCAACTCTTCTTTGATCTTCCTTATTCATTGTCCAACTTTCATATGCATATGAGGCGACTGAAATAAACCATGGCTTGGGTTAGGTGCACCTTTAGTCTTTAAAGTGACATCTTTGCTCTTCAACACCTTAAAGAAGTCTTTTGCAGAAAACCAAATGAATGGAAACAATCAGTCCTAGCAACTGCTGCACCATCTGATCTACAACCTATACAACTATGAGACCAGAAGAACTAGATGGTACCCGACTACCACTATCATCCACTTGGAAGGGATGTATGAGATCCTGCATAGAGAGGGAGAACAATGTGGAACAAAACTCAAAATCATTTGGAGGCAAAAAAAAAAAAAAGAAGGTGGGGACCAGGTTTGCTGGTCCAATAGAGCCTGGTGAAACCACTGAGACTATGGCCCCTAGCTGCCCTTCAGGTCTGGGATTGAACCCACACCTGTGGTTTCCAGCCAAACAAAGAACAGGCAAAGTGAGTTAAACATTTACCTCAAGTAGACACACACCCTGGAGAGAACAATCATGGGAGAAGGAAGGGCTGCTTATGCACAGGGAGACAGCTCAGGGCCCAGAAGAGTATGGAGGGATGGACACTGGGAAGAGGTAACTATGGGGAGGAAGTGGGAGGGGAGCTGTTGCATTGTAAATTTTGGTCAATGACATGAGACAAAGTATATGTGAACTGCTGTATGAAAAGTGAATTTACTCTCTAAATCTTCACCCAAATCAAAATTAAAAAAAAAAAAAAGAAGTCTTTTGCAACAGATTTGCCCAGTTTAGTACAACATCTGGTTCCTTTTTTTTTTCTGACGATCTGTGTTTCCAGTTAGCAGAGATGTCTGCTCCCGTGGAAAGTCTTTATTTTTTAAAAATACATTGTATTGAAATACAATTTATGTACAGTGAGATACATAAAACTAAAGTTTTTTTCTCCAGTGTTCCCTCTACTCCCCTCCCACCCCTGGTAACCAACAGTTTCCTTCCATATATAATCCTTTCCTTGATGAAGTCTGATTTCTTGATGGCTGCTTGCGTGGATGTTGATCGTGGATCTAAGTAATATGAAATCTTTGACAGCATTAATATTTTCTCCATTTATCATGATGCTGCTTATTGGTCCGGTTGTGAGGATTTTTGTTTTCTTTATGTTGAGGTCTAATCCATACTGCACACTATAGGTCTTTGATCTTCATCAGTAAGTGCTTCAAGTCATCTTCACTTTGAACAAGCAAAGTTGTGTCGTCTGCATATCAAATGTTGTTAATGAGTCTTCCTCCAATCCTGATGCCGCGTTTTTATTCATATAGTTCAGCTTCTCAGATTATTTGCTTAGCATACAGATTGAATAAGTATGGTGAAAGGACACAACCCTGACTCACTCCCTTCCTGATTTTAAATAATTAGTATCCCCTTGTTCTATTTAAACAACAACCTCCTGGTATATGTACAGGTTCCTCATGAGCATAATTCAGTGTTCTGTAATTCCCATTCTTCTCAATGTTAGCCATAATTTGTTGTGATCCACAGAGTTGAATGCATTTGCATAGTCGATAAAACACAAGTAAACATCTTTCTGGTATTCTTTGCTTTCAGCCGAGATCTATCTCATACCAGCAATGATATTCCTCATTCCATGTCTGCTTCTGAATGCAGATTGCATTTCTGAGAGCTCCCTGTCATTATACTGCTGCAACCAGTTTTTAATTATCTTCAGGAAAATTTTACTTGCATATAATATTAATGATATTGTTTGATAATTTCCACATTCTTTTGGATCATCTTTCTTTGGAATGAGTAGAAATGTGGATCTCTTCCAATCAGTTGGCCAGGTAGTTGCCTTCCAAATTGCTTGTTGTGTAAGTATCTCCAGCGTGGCATCTGTTTATCGAAACATCTCTGTGGGTTTTCCATCAGTTCCTGGAGCCTTATTTTTCACAAATTTCTTCAGTGCAGCTTCAACTTCTTCCTTCAGTGCCATTGGTTCTTGGTCATACGCCACTTCCTGAAACAATTGAACATCAACTGATTATTTCTTGTACAGTGACTCTGTGTATTCTTTCCATCTTCTTTTGATGCTTCCTGCATCATTCAATATTTTACCCATAGAACCTTTCAATATTGCAACTTGAGGCTTGAAATTTTTCTTTAGAAGGTAGAGTTACATGATCTCAATAATTGTTTTCATCTCACATTTATGTCAGGTTTACAACACTATGTAGGAGAAACGTTTAACACAACCCTTTTTAAAACATTCTAGTTTCATCTTCTCTTCTCCGCACCTTGACTATCTTCCCATTCATATGCATGTGTCCTTGGGCCTATTGCTGAGTAGAACCAATAGACCCTAAAAACCAAAATCAAACCCACCACTATTGTTTTGCTTACCTAGTGCCACTATAACAGACATACCACAAATGGGATGGCTTAACAAACGGATTTATTCTCTTACAGTTTCATAGGCTAGAAGCCTGAGTTCAAAGTGCCAGCTCGAGGGCTGGGTAAAAGCCCTTTGACCTTGTGCTTCAGCTTTGCCTCTTGCTCCCAGGCCTAGAGGCTTCTCTTAACTCAGGCAGCTGCTGGCTGCTGAGGTTGACAAACCCAAGGTCTACAAGTAAAATGCCACAGTCCCAAGATTACCAAACAACACGACATGCCTCTAGTTCAAGTCCAGAGACAGTCCCAGTATTGGAAGGAAATATGACAGGCCGCTGAATGAAGACTCAGCTACATGCAGGGCCTAAGCATGCGGAGCCCTCTCTCAATGCTTCATATATACTAGAAGCAGACCACATCCCTACGGCAGCTATTCAGCTGCTCCAGTAGATTCCACCATGGAGTTGATTACCAATATAATCATGGGGAATAACTACATCCAGGTGCCCAGCCACTCAAAACCAAGCCCAGCCAAGTTGACACACAACTTAACTACCACAGCCATTGAGTAGATTCTCACCCTCCCTGATTTTAAACCATTCAGTATCCCCTTGTTCTGTTCCAAGGACAGCCTCTTGATCTATGTATAGGTTCCTCATGAGCACAGTGAAGTGTTCTGGAATTCCCATTCTTCACAATGTCATCTGCAATTTGTTATGCTCCACACAGTCAAATGCCTTTGCATAGTCAATAAAAGACAGGTAAACATCTTTCTGTATTCTTTGCTTTCAGCCAAGATCCATCAGATATCAGCAGTGATATCCCTCATACCATGTCCTCTCTGAATCCACCTTGAAATTCTGGCAGTTCATTTTTAATATACTGCTGCAAAATTTTACTTCCATGTGATATTAATGATATTGTTTGATAATTTACACATTCAGCCTCACAGCAACACACAAGCCACCGCAATAAAACAAACGGACAGATGCATGGTCACACCCTATACTAAAACTATGTTTTCAATATAACAAAACCCTACCAAGTGGGGAGCTC